CTGATCGCTGTCTGAAATTCATTTTCCTGTATCCTCTATGATTTTAATGAGCTCCTTGGCAGTTTAGACTTCATTTGAAACATTTACTGAATTTTGCACAACTTTATGGCTAACAAATTGAACGTTGCCAGCTCCACAATAGTGAACCTGAACCCTGAGCACTCCAACTACCAGGCTGCAGGAGGTGTGATGGTGAATTTCCACCCTGACCTCCAACAACTACTCCAGAGACTTTTAGGCTGGAACTGGTGGCTTTCAATAATAGCCTGTTGCCTATCGACAGTCTCAGCATATGTAGTGTCAGGAGCAGCTGATGTGGAGATTGTTCACATGTGTGGAGCCCAGACTGCCTGAGATGAATGGGTGTTCTAGCCCCTGAGAACACAGGGCACGAGAGGTGAGCCAGTTGTTAGGCAGAGGGGTTTTATCTGACATCAACTTGCTAAATGAATGAACACACACGATGTGGTGGAGGAAGTGTTTCTTTCCTCCCATCTGGAGAGAGGGCTCCACCTGACCTCAGCTTTCTGTATATTTGTTTCTGTCTTTATTTCTCCATCCTCTCACTGTCTTTCCTCCCAGGAACTTTGAGAGCTGAGCAGGACACGATATTACAGTAGCAGTCACTGGAAAAATATGCTTTCACATAGGCTCATAAAATTCTGTCACAGGATTTTCTCCAAGACTTCACATTTCCATGTTTCCTCTGGACAGGGTCACTTGCTTATTTCCATAAGTGATCAAACACCTGCTATTAGCCAGATCACCATACTCTATGATTAAAACCGGATCTTCATAGCCTTCTGTCTTCACAGGTGTGAACTGATCCATGTTACACCGGGCAAATGCATGAGCTTCCCTTTCCCTGTTAAGTAGTAGCCAAGTAGCACCGAATACTTCCTTAAACTCCCCAAGGATGCAGGACTGATAAATTTAGCAGCTGTGCTACCTTCTTCTCATCTGCCACCCGATCCTCAAAGTCTGTCATCTTGGGCTGCTCTGGCCTAGCCCAGCCCTCTGAATTTTATACTCTGTGTTTTTCCTATACATGTCTTATCAAGATTAATTTGTAAATTAGGCACTCTAAGACATTCACAAATGAATAGAGTATGTGAATGTAGTCTCTCAAAGCCATCTCACTGGACCATGCCCTTTTTTTGTGAGATGGCAGAGTGCCCAGACAAGCTGAGGTGGATAACACTGGAGGGTTGTGTGGCACCAGGCTGCCACAGTAAATAAGAGTCCTCTGCACAAAGGTATCAAGGTACTCACGGCTGCCCGATACACAGGTTGGCTAAAGAAGGAGGCTGTTGCATGTGGTGTAGATACACTGGAATGAGGGGCCACGGACACTCCAGGCAGGGCACAGTGGGAAAGTGCAAGGTCTCACCACTCTTCACAATGGCATGAAAATTAAAACTTATGCATTATTTCTAGAATGTTTTGTTTAACATATTTTAACTTAAGTTGACTTCAAGTAACTGAAGCCACAGAAAATGAAATGGCAGAGAGCTGGGGAGATAGCTCAGTGGCATAAGTGCCTGCCTAGCAAGTGGTACCAGTTTGATCTTTGGTACCAAAAAGAAAAAAAAATGGCAGAGAAGGTAGTGAGTGGATGACTATACTCGTACCTTTTTCTGTCATATTCCTAGGAGAGAAAGTGATGTAAATCATGCCCTGTGAGTGGAGGGCTAGCTCAGGGCCTGGAGCTCTCCACCGTCCTTCTGCCTGGGCCCTGCATAGCCCTCAGTCGGTATTTGATGAATAAACAGGTTTCTATGTTGATAAAATGGAATAACTAAGGGATAGCCCACATGGGACACAGGATATTTGACTTAGCTAAACTTAAAAGTCAGAGGAAAAGCAAGCAAAATGTCCTTTTTATAAATCCAGCCTCCTGATTGAAATACTGCTAACACAGGGCACTGATGAGCACTGCACATGATTTTATCAGAGTGTGAGGCTCGCTCTGAGGCAGGGTGAGCTCCTTGGCCCTCTGGGAGCTGAAGCTGTACAGAGCTCAGCTACATTTAGTGAGAAGAAGATATTCTCAGGCACATGGGGCGCAGCTCGTTCTTCACAACTGTTACACTTGCCCAGTGCTAGGTGTCAGGTAACTGCCAACCTGTGCTGTTATTCATTGGTTTCTTTTCCATGAAGTCACAGAAGGGAATTTGTTTTCTTCTGACCACCCTTCTTCCCAAGGTCCTGATAACTAGGGGTCTCCCAGGCAAACATCACTTTTGCTTCAGCCAGGCACCTGCGACAGCCGACTTCTCTTTGCAGGCTTCTCCTGCCTGGGTGTTTGACTGCACCTGCCC